TCTTTAACTGCATTAGGCATATTTGAAAGAATTACTAATATATGAAACATCATCATATGGGATTAATACATACATTCTTGGAATTTACGAGCATATATTCTTTGATCTATCTTTTTCTCTTTTTCATTTTACATAAAAAACAAAATAAGTCACATCAAGCTTTTTATTTGCTTTGGTAATGGTGAGAACTGAGAAGAGTGAATAAAAATACAAGTATTCAAAAAACAAAAAATATGTGATCAAATTTAAATATAAGGATTTTGTTGTATAAATTTGAGACAAAAGAAAAAGTAATGTAATAAAGAAAAAGTAATGTAAGATTCTCTTTGGTAGACTGAATCATTCGTACTCCTTAAATGAATCTTAAAAAGCTTTGGAGCCCATGATACTCACGACGGTGGATCCGTGTTGCCGTACTTAAATGGTAAAACCTAAACTCGATTTATTACAAAAACATGAAGTCAAAATTGACTGTGGCTAAAAACATCATATACAACTCTTTAAAAAATTCATAATAAAACTCAGTTAAACTAGTAAGTATAGTGCTATTTTCATTGGTCAAAAGTTTTCGTTCGTCTCTCTCCTTGCCAAAAAATAATCTAAACCTTGACGATGAAAAACAATGTATAATTTGGCTTAATACGATTTATTCTCTCTCTTTCTCTATGGGAATTGAATTTACTGGGAATAGCAGTGGTCAGCTCAACGGTCTATCACAACATTTATAAAAACACATTTAAAGCTCAAAACGCAGAATGACCCACTTTCTCTTTCTCTCTCTCTAGACAAAACCTAAGCCAAAAGAAGTATCAGAAATGGCTTCATCTAGATATTTGATCTTTTACATCAATTCGTTAAATTGATAGATATACATATACTTGTATCCGATCACCTCCATCTAGATATTTGATATTTGCATTTCTTGTTTTAAAACAACCCAATATTCATAATTTGCATTTCTTGTTTTAAAGCAACCCATTGGAAACCTGACATGTTATCTCTATGTCAAAAATGTTAAATTATAGACCTACTATCGGAATCATAGACCAAAAATCATACGTCTCTATCGGAATCAATGTATGTATCAATCGAACTAACGTATCTCTATAATATTAAAACAGAAGTACATTTAGGAGAATGTCCAAAATTGATTCAAATATTACTCAAATTGCTATTCCCTTATAACTAAATTGATTTAATTTAAAAGAGTAATTTTGGAGAGATGCAATGACAATTTCAGTAATTTTCAGATCAATTTTGGACATTTTTTTAATACGATCCGACTGCAGCACGCGGATTCTCTATATGATCCGATTACGACCCGTTTTCATTAATGGCAAATTGTGTAATTATTCAAAGTTCTGAACAACGAAAATAGAGAGAAAGTTGCGATTCGGATTGAAACCTCAGGAGAAAGGTTTGATCTTTTATCTATTCCATCGAACGTTCTACTGATTTACATCGAAGAGAATTGAGGAGAATTTTGTGGGTTTTGATTTGGGTTTATCTCTTACAGAATTGAGGAGAATTTTGTGGGTTTCGATTTGGGTGAGAGATAAAAGAGAGAAAAAAACCTAGAGGGTCGGGGAATCGGTGATGGGATATTATTTTGGTCGACGATTAG